CCCCCTCCCCCTTTTTTTTCTCCGCTCCTCTGAAGGAGCGTATTCAAACCAGGGGCCAACATAAGACGTGACGTAAGGTTATTAAGGTACGCCGTCAGGTAATTTTTGTGTCTCAAAGTAAATTATTTTCCATTTTTCCAAACTATGTCTATGGTTGCCATGTGGCTTATCTACATCATTCCTGTTTCTAATTCTCATTTTCAAAAATCATACCTTTTTCCTATTTTTAAAACTTTCCTCGAGAACATGTTTTTTTTACCTTCGCTTATGGTCTTCTTTAAAGTAAAAAAATGAACGAAGTTAAAAGAAACAAAATAAAGCTAAAGCTTCAACGTTGACTACGGCGACGATGAAAATATGTGACGGAAATGTGAAACGAATGTGCTTCTAGAACAAAGAAATTTTACGGGTGAGGCCAATATAGGAAATAAAATTATCAAGATAAAAAGTAAAAAAAGAAAATTGGCAAAAATGTTTAGAGGTAAAACGTTACCGGAAGCGGTGCACTAAAACTTTGTTCTCTGCTTTCTAGCCCCGGTGTGGAGGCAAGTCTGGATGCCGAGTCTTCTGGTTCCCCCAAGCCTAGAGCGTTCCCAGCAGGTGACTCTACGTCCGGGGTTTCGATGTCTGATGGCGACTCTATGATCACGTCACCCGCAACTGAAACAATGGAAAGGAGATAAAGCAATGGTTAATAGGGTGGCGTTGTTGTAGGCTTTTGCGCACCAGTTGGGGTGACTGAGGGCGTAGTCAGCTAGCGGCTACAAAAAAAGTGTGGCGGGGGGAGGGAGGGAAGGAGGGGGGGGGGACGACGAAGCCGAGGAGGGAGAGGAGGAGGGAGGGAAGAAGAGAAGAGAAGAGGAAGAATGGAAGATACGATGTGTTCTTGCTGCATCCACCAGACAAATAGGAAAGTTTCTCAAGAATAGGACGGCATGCACAGATATAATACATGTAATACTAAAATGGCCGATCATCCTTGGATTAAATAAAAACCTTATGCTATTTCATTAATCTGCTAGTTGTGTCACCAGAAATACGCTTCGCTCAATATGCATAGAATTTACAAATACGTGTATGCCTACTCAATGATAATATATCTACTCAGAAATGTATCTTACTCACCCACGCCATTCTGTTCATCATCTTTTGTCCAGGGATTTTTGGGATGTGCCCAGGTCAAAGGGTTTTTGATATTCCACTGCTCTTTCTGTAAATATTAAAATATGACAGACGAATGGAAATAACTGAAAGCGTTTAAGCCCCTTACAACACAATTTAGTTCAATGTGGAGATAATATGTTTCTTCGACCAAGCCTGTCGGAATCAACAGTTGCTCTGTAGTCTGCAGAACACATCCAAAGAAAAAGACATGAATAGATGTTTAAGGTATATCCTCCATGGAGATTCGACCACACGTCTCCTGCTTGCAAGTCTACGAGTTTCATCATAATACCATATAAATATGTCTATGTCTTCTTGAAATATACAATTTGGTCGCTTTTAAGGACACGCAGGCTAACCCAAATTTCGGAGGTTTCCAGAAATCTTGATCTACACCAAAGGTGGGCATTGCCCTACCTATAGGAGAAGTTTGGTTTCATTGGTGTGTATATATGTTTGGTTATAGAGAAAACTCCTTGTCTTTTAAAGAAACTGAACATGGGGCACAAACTTTACCTTCGATTTTCTCAAAACAGCATTTTTCAAGATAGCCCCATCGTGCTTAAAAGCGGTCAATTGACGTCTAAAAAGTTAATACACATGCAGAGTAAGATGTCTGTGTAATATGTATAAACACTGTACAGGAACAGAGCCGGATATCTCTCTCTCTCTCTCTCTCTCTCTCTCTCTCTCTCTCTTTCTCTCTGTCCCTCTCGCTCTGTCCCTCTCTCTCTCTGTCCCTCTCTCTTTGTCCCTCTCTCTCTCACTGTGTCTCTCTCTCTATCTATCTATCTATCT